CGTGGCGAGTGCGGCGAGTGGGACACGCAGACCCCGCTGCCAGCATCCCTCACAACCAGTCCGCGGCTCCTCAGCTTCCTCTCGTTTGACTGGCTTCAGTTAAATCCTTGAAGCAACCCCCCACCTTTCCGAGTGAGCCCCTGTACCTGTCTGGCTGCCGGACGGAGAGACGGGAACCTTCATCGCCAGCCCAAAAGACCCCCGGTACGACGTGCTGTCCCGCACAACGAACGTGCCTGGCTCCTTGTCCTTCAGCAGCTGGATTGCTGTCAAAGCACAGGCGGAGGCTCAGCCAAGCAAAACAGGTGGAACCTCCCCACACTGCGTTTCGTGTCCGGCCGATGCTCTCGCGGGGAGTTGTTCCTTGGCAGCAGCCAGAAAGACTCGGGAGCTTTCACTAGGACACGCACGTCCCCCATGCGGGTACCGGCCGCGGTGGCCCCGCAGACTGAGGGGCCCGTGGGTCCCCGCGGGCCCCAGGACAGAGCCAGCCCTGCCTGGGCCGTGCTGAGCGGCCGCAGCCAGAGGCAGGAGGAGCTTTGGTGGACTTGAGCGGGGGACAGGGGGGCTGTGGCACAGCCCATGGCTCTGAGCCTTCCCTCTAGACCTGTGGGGGTCTCTCCACACCTGGCAGCTTTGAATTGCCACCATCGAGTCCCCCCAGGACCTCAGCGCGGGCAAGAGCTGGACTGAGATGCTGCGGGGAGGCGAACTCCAGCCTGGGAACGCATCTGAGCAGCAGACGGGGTTATCCCAGCAGAGACAATCCCTGCCTTACCTTGGTCCCGGGTTATGCTCGGCTTGAACCAGTACTTCGATGTGTCCATCACAAACTTCATGGTGGGCTGCCCAGCCCTGAGGGGACCTGCAAGAGACCTTACGGCGTCAAGGCCGGCGGGGGACCTGGAAGACCTTCACAGCAGACATCACTGAGCAGGCCACAGTCCTAGCAAAGAGATTTCTCTTTCAGGCTGGCCGGGGTTGAAGCTTTTTTTCAGTCCTTTTGAACAGAGCTTCCTCCCTGCTCCCCAGAATGATTCATTCTCCATGTAATTATCTCTCTTGGCAGGCTGCGGTGGAGCGCAGAGGCAGCACGTGGAATCGCCCGGTGGTGCCAGTCTGCCCAACCCTGCACAAGTCCACCAGACCACGGGGATTTACACCAGCTGAGGATCTGACCCACAAAGCCCTCATGCTATTCCCATAAGAATCTCAATTAAAACCCTCTGCCCCCAGAGCTGCCTCTGCCGAACTCCTCCAGAGAACAACAGCCCCATTGTTTACCCTTGAACGAGGGACCTTATAAACTCCGGCACCTTTACACGTCCTCGGGAGCAAACTGGAACCCTGACCCTTCCTCCCCGCCCGTTCTGCGCCCGCAAACAGGCATGAAAGGACAGAACGGTGGTTCTCAGTCTCAGGTGCTGTAACTACGTGTATCTGCATCTCCCTGAGGGGCCCGGGGCGTTTCTGCCTGCTGAGCACACGCCCCAGGACCCCGGCGGGCGAAACGCCGCGGCCAGGGCAGGGCCATCGGCAACGGGCTGGAGGCCACCGCAAGCCTCACAGCCCCAACCAGGGTCTCTGGCTCCAGCGAGGACCTCCTGCCCCCCACGCCTGTAACCCGCAGATAAACCAGAGTAAGGGGCTGTTTGCTGCCCCTTTCCGGGCAGCTGTTGGGCTCTACAGCTCCTCGCCCCACGCCCGGCCCTGCGGCGGGGAGGTCACTTACTGTCCGAGAGGCAGGAGAGCGCCGGTGCAGACAGCGCGTTGTTCAGGCCACCGAACCTCGAGGGCGGGCTGCAGCCGGGTGGGGGGGTCTGCGTGACAGAGCTGGGGGGCACTTTGGCCAGCCCAGAGGACACGTCTCCTTGTTCCAGGCACCCGTTGACCAGCAGCACGGGGATGTCGGCTGCGGAGTTGAGGATGGAGGGGGGGCAGCTGCTGGCCTGGCCCTTCTGGGACAGCGAGGTGTTGACTTTGGCAGAGCAGCCTGCCCTGGGCTGGGGGGGACTCAGCCCAAAGGCTCCTCCAGAGTGAGACCTCGGGGAAGGTGGGCAGGGGCTGCCCAGGGGGCTGGCAGGGGACGGGCACTCAGCGGAGCAGCAGGCAGCGGCGTGAGCATCCCCGTCGTCGGTGTGGAGCGAGTGGGTGCTGCTGCAAGAGGGAGACAGAGAGCGGGAGGGGATCAGGGGGTTGTTTACCCGGGAGGTGACGCACAGCCCACCCCAGAGCCCCCGCCAGCCCCGCGGGGCATCCACTGCCAGCCTGGGGAAGGAGCTGTTGGACAGCGGGACTCGGGGAAACCGCCCCGTGCCCCTTCCATCCCCAGCATCGGTACCTTCCGAGGATGTAGCTGGTGTCCGACCCGGGGCTCGTGGAGAGCAGGGAGACCCAGCTGCTCCTCTGCTGGGCCCTCACCATGTGCACGGGCTTCAGGAAATTGCCGAAGCCCGGGGAGGTGCCGAGGGCACTGGGGCCGTAGGAGATGCTGTCTGCCCGGCCCTGCGCGGGCACGGCGATGCACTCGGAGGCTTTGCTGCAGGGCGGGGACGCGGCGCAGCTCAGGGTGCCTGAGCGGGGGCTCGCGGGTCCAGGAGGGCTCGAGAAAACCACGCTGCCACTGGTGCTGTAGTTGCCTCTGAGAAGCCCTTTTTGGGGCAGGAAGCCATTGCCCTGGGGGGACCTCGAGAACGGCGTGGCCGAGGGGCTGGGGGAGCCCTGCAGCAGCTCGGGGCACGGGGCTCTGCCCGGCGTCATCTCTATGTATTTAATGTCTGCAGGAGGAAAGAGGAGGATGTTACCCTTCGAGGCGGGTTCGGTAGCTAAGCTCTGCGGGGAACACGTGTCTCTCTTTCTCTTGCTATCAATTCCGGCTCTGGTTTGGGTGCCCTGCAGGGCGGCTGGGCCCAGGGCAGGACCCCTGGCTCTGCAGAGAGAGCCCGTGGCCCAGCGCTGCCCTTCGCTAGACTCAGTGAGGGCTGTCTGCTCCACAGCCACCAAACCAGTGACCCGCGGCAGCGCTGGGGGGCTCCCAGGGAAGAGGAGTTACCCGCGGTCATGTCTGAGTGCACGGGCCCCCCCGCCAGCATCCCAGCGCAGGGGCTTGCCGGGACCTGCCGCGAGCGGCGGGTGTTTCCTCCAGCAGCTGCTTCGTTTGTACCTGACTCAAGGGAAAAACATCTGGCTGCTCCCCCCGGGGATGACATCAGGCTCCGAGGGTGCCCACAGCCGCGTGGCAGGGCACAGCCCCCGAGCTGGCCAAGGGGGGAGCGCGGGGGACGGCAACCGGCCCCCAGGCACGGCCGGATCAGCACCACCTGCAA